GACGAAGTATTTTGTCGGAGCAAATTGAAACCACTAGGTCATCTTGAAATGCACTATTTACTGGTGATTTGTGTGTTAATATTTTCGAGGCAGGTGTTATTAATGTGTTCCTGGCTAAAGTTCGATTATCATGGATAAGCATTTTAAAGTCGTAGATTACAAAAAATTTTGATGAGTTTGTTTTACTTGAAGGAAGGTAATTTAGGGAAAATCGACCTGCCATGGGGCGTTCTACACGTAGTTTTTTTACTGATTGATTGCTTCTTTCTAAATTGGATTTTGGTTTCAAACTGTGGTCGTTTTATGGCCATCAATAGTTCAATTCAATATGTCTTTATTGTTATCTTAATTGTTTTTTATTTTTATATCACGAAATATTTAGTCAAATGTGATCTGATTCTCCAGATTGCCTTTATCGTATACACTTTTGTTTCTTGTTATTTCCTTTGTTCTCCTGTTTTCTGTAAAGTTTCTCTTCCCTTGCTTGTATTTTCGTTTTCTACTGATATTGACTATTATTAGCTTTTAATAGAACTCTTGTTCTGCTATGTCATTTACTTTTTTTTGGCGCCTTTAGGGAATATCTTTATCAGGTTCGTCTTTGGAGCGAAGATTTAAATCAAACGATATGTTGAAGTAAGAAACATTACTATTATTATTATTACTATTACTATTACATTACTATTTTCAGCATCGTCTTTAACTAGTTTAGTTCAAACCATCACGGTGAAGCGGAAGGTGTATTTTCATGCTATTAATGGAATAAAATCAGTATCAGTTTAGACAGTTATAGCCACCGATAGAAACAAGAAAAGTGGAGAAAATACTTGGTCCTCTTTATGTATTGTATCATGTATAATTGTAAAGTGATTTTGATAGTTGTACTGAGCGAAATTAATCTCCTTTTATTTCATCTTTAATCCATATCATTTCTTGTCGTGCCTTCTATTTAGTTCTGTGTTTTCTCTAGCTCGAAAATTTGATTTTCTTCACTTGCTCATTTTGCGTAATTTTTGCTTCAAACTGCAACCAAAGGAATGGTTTTATTGCAGAGATAGATAATTCGGATCTGAATTTTGAACTCTTATGTAATAATTGTATTTGAGGTTTAAAACTACTTGTTTAACACACTGGTGATTATTTAACTACTTTATTTCTTGAAAACTTCTCTCTGAGTTGCTAATTTGAATAATAGGCTTTCCTATCAAATCCAGTGGATTCTTTATGATATTATAGTATATAGCTGGAAAAAAAACTAATATGCTTCATTCGACCGAGCTCTGGAGAATTTTCAGAAGAATAGATGGATGCAAACGGCGGTGAGGAAAAGTTTACAAACTGTAGTTATTGAAATGTATACATCCTAGACGTGCCTTTTGGAATGTTACTTTCGTTTTCATTAACACACAGTCATTGTAGAGTTTTTTTTTTTTGAAATGTTCATTTAAAATGATAAAGCGATTTAAAATATAATGGAATGCCGTTTATGATTGTCTCTGGAGATATTCAGTTCATGGGTCAAGACATTTACCACACAGCACATTTGCATCTCTGGTTTTGTGACCACATGGTAAACAAGTTCTGCGAGAATGAGTTGAGAATCTTGGAATTTTGAAAGCAGCGGGTCTCTGGGCTTTGTACTTGACGGGAAAGTAAGGGCTGCTTGATTTCTTTCAAATTTCTGAAATGTTCAATTTGGTGAAAAGATTGTTGCATCGTTCAGTGATTGGGAATACTGTCGTATCATCATTGGTTGCTAACTGGCTTAGTACCCTGTGGTGCTATTGGTCAACTGGATGGAAAACCGAGAAGTTCCTTACAGAGAAAGGAAGGGTATTTCTTGGCTGTTAGTCTACTGTAGGTATCTGCGTTGTCGGTATAACTTCTTGGTCTCTTAAAAACTGTTGGGTAAGAGTCTCTCCTGGTTTGTATGATGATCGAGTGAGGGACTGTAAATCTGTCTGGATGTCAGACAGGTTAATTAGTTAAATCAATCGGCAAAAGATTAAGCAACATTCGGTTCTTTAGACCGAACATCGACTAATCATTCAACTCTATCTCAAGAGTTTGTGGATTTCACTTCACATGCCAGTATCTTTAATCAGAGACTGTGATCACGCGTCTCTGGACTATATGGAAATGAATAACCTTCTGAAATATAAGTTGCACCTCTAAGCAGTGACACAAACTCAAAATTGTATAAAACTGAGCAGTGCTAACTGATATTTTTACACTGCTGTTGTAGTTCATGGTACCATCGTCCTCCTTTAACATCAGCTTGACATGCGAACCACAAACTTTACAAATCCACAGTTAAAGATAACAATTAAGGATGTGTTTGATTCTAAAGGTTTGTTAATACATTACCTTACTTTAGTTTATAGTCTTGCAGATTTATCATGGTAGATAAATGTCTTTAAGATTGATACAACTGTGATCTTCCTGATCATTCACATTAATACACTTTTACTGTCGCTTTAATCTTGCTGAATTCTATGTCATATGCACGTCCAAGTTATAGCTAAGAGCCATTTCTCTCTGTAAATTCAAAAGTTAATTCTTTCAAACTGTCAGTCATTAAATATACGAATTACTCCAATAAATAGTTTCACTTCCACAATGTTTCATAAAATTCTCTCGAAAATAACTCTTCCTCTCTATGCATTATCACTGCTGAGAAAAAATAATTTACTGAAGTAAAATAATTTATGACAAAATACACACGGGACAAAAACTGTTTACAATCAGCACTTTGCGGAAGAACTATAAATACTCATCCGAATGTGAGAAAAACATGGTTGGCTTGCCATCACGATACATAGAGATTTTCCTTTGAAATACTTTTGACTTATTAAAAAAATGAAAAATATAAGCTTCAGTGAACAAGCGTATTTTTTGCTCTCGGAAATAAAACGACACAACTCAAACAAAATTACCCATTACTATAGCACTCACTGACAAATGAGACATTGATATATTAGAAACATATTATTACGGACACTGATAAAATTATTACAACATTAATAAAATGCTTTCTTTGCTGAAATTCAATCTGACGACTAAAAAACTCAATCTGATGACTCACTAAAACTTAATCCAGAAGCTAAAACTATGAATTCCTAACTAGAAAAGTTTGTTTTTCAAAGATGTACATGGCATAAAATTTATGTAATAAAAGAAAAACTTAATTGCAGTACTTATAAAACAACTGGTAACGACGGATCGCGCGGAACCAAACCCAAAGATTGTAGAACCACCTGACATGCCTGAGCCTTACCAGTTTTTTTACTGGTTGATGGGGTAGAAGGTTGATATTCGACACCATTAACAACAGCCTGAAACATGAATACTGACTGCACTTATTAAAAAAGACAGAGATGAAATATCACGATATCTAAATCGGCTACAATTTGAGCTTTATTCAGCATCTATTTCAATCATATTGCTGACATGTCCAAGCTTTTATTTAATATCCAACGATGGAAACTAACGGAAATATATACATTGTCTCACCTTCCACAGAAATCTACGGTTATTTGATGGTCCACTTTCCAAACATGTGAACTGTGGAGCATGCCATCGTTTTTTTGAGCAAAGTTCCATAAGAACAGATACAGGATGTTTCCCTAAAATAAATAATTATTTTATATCATACTTTTGGAGTACAATTTCTTTGATTCTGGATGTTCTGGGATATTTGCAAAACTTCATTTCTATATGAAGTTTCGTAGTGATTTATATCAGAAAATCATAAAGCCTATGCAGAAAGTCAGAAGGTAAAAGCCAAAAATCGTACCAGTCAAATTTTTCCTAGAATCTGAGCGTAACTTCTTCGATTCTGGAAGTTCTTCTGTTGCTACCAAACCTAAAACAGTACTGATAGCAAAAGACCAGTATTGACCAGTGCAAGCTAATAAAAACATTCATTTAAAAAACTGTATAAAGCAAAATCTCATAGTAAATGAGTCGCCTACAACTGTGAGTCACTTTTACGATCAAAACGAATTGAACTTCGATAGAGCTTAAAAAAATTAACATTATCCACAAACCTTTCCTGTCCGATTTGATGTCTAAAACTAGCGGTTCCAGAGGACCATCTCTCCCTTTTCCCAGGCCTTCACCAGGTGTCCAACCCATCTTCTGCATCAACTTTAAACCCACACTACTGTTCACAGCATTCGTCTGTTTTAAAAAATCCTAAAATGTGAAAAGTTTAAGTAAGATGTATGAGATTTGAAAAGTAAAATTCAAAGAACAAGAAAAGAAAACTGAAAAAGTTTTATACAAACTTACACCAGCGGCCGTATGATCACTAGGTCAAAAAGGTCAAAACATCAGCTACAGTGGAAGTAATCCTTTCCCATCATCAGTTACTGGTCAGCAACACCTAAACAGTTTCTGTCCATGATCAATGACACGAGTTGCAAGATATACAAAAATAGCGCATGATTAACCAGTACGGTACAGGGACGACTTAGTGGGATGTTATGTTAGCATACTCATTATTTCAGAAAAGCAAAAAATATTTAAGAGATGACGGTCTGATATGTTCAAATTGACAGACAAAAAATATTGCTACTCACTGCATACATTATTAACTCACTTCTCAATGACTTTCTCATTAGGTCGCTAAAACGCCATACACAACTATCCTTAGAATAATGTTGATATGTCCTGCTTCCTCATAATTACACACAAATATTATATGAAATCTAAAACTTCTAATATAAGTGAAAAACCTGTTACCATATGAGCCAAAAAAGTGCAACTCGTGTCATTAAACCATTAACAATCTATTGTGGTAAACAAATGTTCGTCCATTTTCTGCCACTTTTCTCCACAGAAACTAAGCAAAACCATCATATATGGAACACACCCGTCGAACAACCGATCAAAACATGAAGTCAATTACGAAACATCCACTGTGAACCATTTCAAATACTGGTAATCTAATAAGTAATACAAAATTTTTAGTTTCTTCCAGTCAGTTATTAACGCCAAGTAAGGCAGCCGATAAAATGCTAAATGGTACAAATAGGCTTCACTGACAAACCATATATTCGAATAAAGCGCAAAACTGCAAAAGAAACAATACATATGACTGACTGGGAGTAGCTACCTGCGTCCACTGCATTACTGTTGTTGGTACGGACAATAAACTAAGACATTTTGGATATTTCGATATAAGAAAAAAGTAAAAATGAAAATGCCGAGGCCAAAGTCGAATCTTGATATTTCAAGAAAGAATTTGCCACAGACAGTTCATGAATACTTGAACCCGCGAATTTACTGCAGGGAAAAACTTGGATTGTTTATATTGAAGTATGACAGAAGGGAACCAAAGTTATGTGTTGTTGAAGAATTTTTGCTTGTAAGCCATCCAAGATCTGTTTCAGCTCCTTAACATATAGAAGCCTCTTGCAATTCTATCAAAAGTATTAATTGGATTAATCTTTAACAGTAGCAAAGATGTAGACATAAGAGATTTAATAAATGGCAAAGGTATCGAATATTATCAGCTGAAAAAGATCTAAGCAGGAAATGTTCACATGTTGCATGTATTATTCTACGGTACCAGTAGCATCATTTCAGAATGAGCATTGCTTAAAAAGTCAGTACTAATCCCAGTAATGGTCCCTAGACTGGAAATTTTCCTGTTAGTTTCCTATACTGGAAGGAATACATAATGCAAAGAAATATGAAATTAAGATCATTACTCAGACCATATCACTCTTCATTAAAAACTCGTTGATATTGCCGTGGATGTGAAATGATGCACAGTGAAATTTCTAACAAAAAATTATATTCATACATGAAAAATTATTTCTTTTTAAACTGAATGTTGACAGATATGAGAAAAAAGTGGTACTTTTGGTGCAACCAGCTGATTAAGATTCAAAAGCCGATTTGTTTTCTTGTCTACATTGTTTTTTATTTAAGCATAAAAAATGATTGGTAGCTGCTGTAGTTCTTACACGCCCTCACCAAAGCAGCAATGCTTTCATTTACAAAATCTATGGTTCACATCAAAAATATGCAGTTGTATATGACCCATTACATCACTGAATTTTCCACTGGTAGTTGTTTCTGGAGAGGAACACTGCTTGGAGCGTAAAAACAAAAAAACACTTAACATTACAAAAATAATTTGACATTTTCCTTGACCTTGTCATATAGACCAGTATGGCTTCTAAAAATCATTATAACAAAACCTTTAAAATCTTAGCAACAGACTTTTCACAGAAACGATTAAAGCCTCACAGAATAAAAAGAAAAATCTTGGGCTAAATATGATGAGTTTTCCACGTAAATCTCATACGGTAATCCAACAAACCTTTTTTGCCCAAACACTGAAGCGCGGACCATCCGGGCCAAGCTGATCAGCTTTCAGTACATTCACATCGGTGGATCCAGTAAACTTTCCCGGTAAATTCTTTTTACTCTCAGCCCATGCTCTTATCTGTAAAGTGGTACTCACTATTTTGAAGTCCTAAAGCATGAATCGAAAAAATTCTGGTAAAAAGTACGTATAGATTTTATTTGGCAGATGTTGTGAAGCCCAATCGGAAATTCGGATTAGCGGTTTTTCATGTGGAATTTTCTTCTTGTCCCCTTTATATTTTCAAATTATTTACAGAAGCATTTACGCTCTAATAAATGAAATTCCCAATCTTGAGTTTTTTCTCAAAAATGCACTCAGTAAGAAAAAAGTGATGCTTTTAAATAGAGAACTTTTAGCTGAAAAACAACCTCTCTACATGATCTTAATTTCACCCACTTTTTACTCCGGCAGCAACAAAATTGCAAATCAGGTACTTTTGGTCTCTTGCAGACGGTAAAATGATTCATTAAGACGGGATGAAGAATGACATGGAAGAACAATAACAGTGTTGCGTATCCTTGAGCCCTAGTAAGAACACATCAAACATCTCTGAGTTCAGTTCTACGCTGCTTTTATTATATCCACTGTGAAATACCTTGAAATCATGGAATGATCGAAAGGTTTGGAAGGTGGAACGCAGTAATGTGCAGAAATATTGTTATACACATAACCAAAACCACGACCAGCGTCTACACCGAACTTCCAGAAACTTTTCATAGAGAAACTAAACCATTCAGCCATTTCTTCTTCACCACTTCATCAAATGGATACCTTGCACTATACTTTATCCCGCGTTTATACAGCTTCCAACCACAACTTTTATTATCTGGATAATAAAAAAAGTTGCCTGATCATCAGCTTCTTTCAACAGACGTCTTGCTTCATAGTCATTCGGATCTTTCGCTAACAGCTTACTTGCTTTTATCCGTTTTGCCATCACCCTGCCAACATTTGCCGGCTAAAACAAAAGAATTTAAATCTGCACCCACAGATACGAATGGTACTTCAACACTGAAGTTAACAGTAGAAAATCAGGAATCATGTATATCAAGTAGGTAACCATAATGTTTATCGAAGAAAATACGACCGATTCATAAGTTTGATCCCATGGAGAGGAAATCAGAACACACAAGAAAACTAAGGAAACAGAAAATCGTATTGTTCCCAAACAAAGAGATATTTTGCTCCAGTTAAAAGGGATCCTGTACACTGTAGTCGTATGATTTTTGTTAAATTTGAGCACATAAATAGCAACTTCCGAATATGTCACTTTCATTTATCCACCGTAAATTACTTCAAATATTAAAAAATTACATATTCGAAGATTTTTCAACGGTGGAACACTAACCAAAAAAAGAAGAAACAATCAGACAAACACAAAAAGTAGTATGAAATCAGTCTCCCTCACACTTCCGCTTTAACTTCTACAGAAAAAAAGGAGTAATGATACACTGAAGCAAAAAATATCCTAACAAATAGACAAACTAGATACATCCTGTCAACGACATTTAGGACCTAAATTTTCAGATCAAAATTTGATGCAAAATCTTTTTCACAATTATATACCGTATGATGAAGGGGCTTTGGTTCCCTGAATACAGATTCTTCCTCCGGCACTGTGACAACATTACCATAGTTTAGACCGAGAGAAGAATTCTGCTCTTGATTCTGCGAAGCGTTGCAAGAATCAGAAAACAAATCAGGTGGTGGTGGAGGTGGAGGCAAATTCAACAAAGAAGAGGCAGAATGTGTAAACGACGCTAATATCGGCGGTGGTGGGGGTGGTGGCAAAACGAATGATTTGGCAGCTACAATTTCAAACGTATTGAAGACCTGAAAAAGAAATTTCTAGTTGAATTGCATAATTTAAAGAGGTCGACCAAACGCTAAAATACTCGATATTTCAAAACATCATTCACTTTTGTGAAAGGAAATAGCAAAAATAAATAAACAAATATATTCCCAGAACATTCCGATAGGCCAATCAAACGCTAAAATATATTATCTAGACCAAATAAGGAAGCACATAAAAAATAACAAAATTCCTCATAATTAATATAAGAAATTTCCAGATTAAGCTACATTAGAAAAACAAAATATATAACCTTCTCCTTCTGCTTAGTGAGTGCGGCCAATTTCGTCTTCTGTGCTAGACTGCAAACTGATGGTACTACTTCCTCCTTTTTAACTGGCATCCATCCCTGCAAACAAATTATTAAATAATTCAAAATAGCGTAAATTAAGGGATGACAGACACATTTTACCAAACTTACATTATCTTTTTCTCGGTGCTGTGCCCCGGAGGAAACCGGATAAGTAATACGTAACTGACTTTCTTCTAGCGTCCTTTGCGCAGGTGTTTTAATTGGAATTGGAATTGAATTCTGAAAAAGAGCTTACTTTTACACCATACGGATCATAAATAAGAATATGAATTCATAGGAAGGGAATTTAAAGTGTACGTTAAAATAAACACTATAGAAAGTGATTGAGTGATTCCGAAATTTTGCTGCAACATTGTTTTAAAAGGTTCATTAATGTGATTGAATCATGATTCTTAGTTTCAAAATTATTAAGATTCTGAAATAATCATTTTGAAACCGGAAACCAAGATTCAATCACATGGTGTTAAAAAAAAAAGCAAGATTAACAGCTTTAAAATAAGTGGAGGGAAAACAAGATTGAAATCAATAATAATATTACAGTCAACTGTTCAAAATAGTCATTCATAGCCTGTTCGAAGAACTGTGGCCTAAGATTTTTTACGTTTCAAACAGTCCACTTAATGCTACAACTGGATTGTGTAGCGTTATGCTGGAAAGTTGAATATAGCTGCGAGTAGCTTACTGGAATGTTAATAGTGATTGGAGTAGCAGGTTTCAAAGCAAATGGATGTTTCAGGAAATCAGTATCATCTTCGCCTTTTTTCTTTCTTGGCGCCAAGTCTTCATCACTCGATACTGTCTCGCCTTTCTCACGTCGTGCAGCCTTATCTTGTGAGCGTTGTAATTTTTGACAAAAATCTTAAAAAAGATCAAACATTATACATAATTAGCAACAAAGGCAACAGAATAAGACATTTTATTAAAAATCAAGCACAAAAGAAGCTTACCAACAAGTTGATCGACAGATTGTCCGTCTGTTTTCAGTTGGGCTTTTGTTTCAACATTTGGTAAATAACCAAGCTAAAATCTAGGTTTTCGTATATTAAATTCCATAAAAGAAAAGTATAAATGGTTTTCGGAAGATGAAAAGGAAAAATGCACATTAAAGCAATAAATTCACTAGCTTTAGCACAAAGTTTCACAAAGTTTTGGAGCCCTAGCTCTTTGAAGTAGCATTGTCAAAATCGACGGAGTGAGCAGGAGGGGAAAACAATTAGAAAAAACAACACTTCCATTCGTATCATTATCACTGAAATTGATTTTGTCATTGAAATTGACTGGATGTATAATATACACCAGTTATAAACAAAACAAAGTAACTCGAACTTGTGCCATTTGAGCAGCATTTCTTTGTGCAATCTCCAGTAACTTCTTTTTGTCAATTTTGTGACCATTTGATTCATCATCAATTCGTCGTTTATAGCTATTCTCGCGATCACGGTGATAATAATAATGACTGTGACCACGATAAGAGCTCCGCACTTTACGATAGTGAGACGAATGCGAGCTTCGCGAAGATGAACCTGATAACGACCTATAAATTTCACTAATAAATTTATTGCAAATTCAATACAAAAACAGCGCAAGATGATGAAATATCCGGAGTAATACCAAACAAAACTAAAACCTTGTGCGTGAATATGAACGTGAACATGAACTTGATGGTGATCGCTTTCGCTTACGTTCTGGATAAGGACTTCTTGTAGAGCGAATTTGCCTCCATCCCTTCGAACGTGTGCTGGAAAATGACCTTTTAAGCACTCAACCTTTCTAACAAAATTGATATATTTCCATATCAAAGATTTACTTACTGCATAAAAAGTGCATTGGTTTTTTCTTTGACATCTTTTTCTCCACGATTCCACTGCCATTTCGAACCTTCATGTACTTTTTTATTACTGTCTACATAATATGATTGTACATAAAAGCTACCTGAAAAATACTTCAAACTAAAATATGCCATAAACAAAAGAATACAACATAAAACAATATTGATGGTGCAAGTTAAGAACAAACAGTGACGTCAAAAACTAACCAGGTCGTCTACGAGTTTTATCAAAGTCTCGTCCTGAGTATCGTGAATGCTCCTTCAGCTTGTTTCTGAAAACCAGTGTGTTTAATTTGAAAAAAAAAAGGAAAAAATCAAACGAAAATTACGAAAAAAATATAAAAATCAGTCAACCACAAAAAAATTTTTGCACTTCTTTCCCAAAAGCTTCCATTCCCTCTCACTATCCGATGACAACGAACTGCTGCGTTTTGAATATCGTTTTCCATGCTTCTTATCTTTTCTTTCTTTTTTCCTTTTCTTTTCTGGAAAAAGATTTGGGAAAAAAATTTTTTGTAAATTAAAAGAAGTTCAAAAGAGACTCAAGCTTCTTAACTATATAAATTCACTGAAATACTCTGAAACTGCATTTCAAAAAGTTTAAGAAGAAAACAAAGAAACGACAAAATTTTTTATAAAACCTAATTTATATAGTTTCTTTGGTGCCTACCTGACTGAATGTTATTGATGCAAAAAAAGTTCTCAATATTCAAGATAAAAATGTATCACAGCGTACTGTAGTATAAAAAAGATTGTTCACCACGAATTACATAATTCTTCACCACATGACAGCCAACAATAATGAAGCTTAATTGAACAAATGACAATTCAATAACTAATGTCAATCTTACCATCTGTTTTTTTCCTCGTCTCACTTTCATTTCCACTCATTCCTCGTTCCAATCTCGAATTTTTTTCAGCAACCAATTCATCAACAGTGTCATCATTTGAAAAAGAAGGTCCCGCACTTGTATCACTTACTGGAATTTCGCCATCTTTTCCCCTCTGACCTCTTTTTTCACCACCGAATAGCACCTACAAACCGCTTTATAAGTGTTCCAGTTCAAATAAGACTTGGAAAGATTAATTAATAAACATTAATATGAATATAGCACAGCAGTATATTAATGGTTTGTTCAGATGATACCCACAACGCTGACCGGACAACGTTGGAAAGATACAGAATTCGACTTTTGATGATACAAATCTTTCACTCAAGATTTTTAATTACAGGCTGCTGCGTATCCCTTAAAAAACTCCAGTTAATCCACGATTCAATAAATATCCATCAAACAATGCAGAACTATAAATGGGACCACATATTACGGGAAATAGAGCAACCTTGCTTATGGTGGCGATTTTAATGGATTTTGAAGCTTTAGTTTGCTTTATTTTAAGAGGCGATAACTGCAATTCATCCTCGTCTTCGGAGATTGGCTGTGTCCCAAGAGCTTCCACTGGTCTTGGTCCATATTCGACATCATCGTGCCTACCACCATCACTTTCTGCAAATTCATAAATAAATTAAAGCAATGGTAACTTTCCGGGTATTACTAATATTAGAAACCATTACACCATTACACCAACCATTACACCAAGTTTTTCTAAAGATTAACACGAAGTCCTCTATAATCAAAAAAAATTACTTGGAACTGTATGACTGACCATATCTGAAGTTGACCCGCCAATACTGCAATTCAAAGCATTATTATTTCAAGATTTAGCCGCGTAAAACAAGTGCAGACAATAAAAAGTTGCCTATATGATAAGTCATTGAATAGAAGAACAGTCGCAAAGAATGTCAGATACTGGCATATCCAGCAAAAGTTAAACCGATCAACCAACAGCATTTCAACATCGAATGTTTGAGCGTGATATGTGGTTTAATTCCGCGGAAAGTTATGGAATCAAATCAGTTTTTTTTCACATTTTTGGAAAAACTTTTACTTTTTTTATTTTACTTTTTTGGAAAAACAGAAATTTCTATGCATTTAAGGAAACCAATATCGTAAAATGTAAACAATATTCGATCCACTTACCTTTTTCCATTTTCTTGTTTCAGTTTGATATTACGTGGTACAAAAGTACTATCTCTTTCGGCTCGCACCTTCGCCAGTATTTCCGATAATGGGCGTGGCTTCTTTAACACAGGTGGACTTTCAGACTTCTTCTTCTTAGCCAAAGGAAATACTTCTTCATTAACGTCTGTATGACGAAGAAAATATAGTTAACCTTTCAAAAGCAATTAGTGAGGTGACGAAGAAATGAAGAAAAAAAAAGAACTTACTAAATTCTTTTGTTCTATTTTGTACACCGCCAGAAAAATCTTGAAATGATTCACTTTTTCCACCCATTTTTGAACTGCTAGCATTTACACTGAGGAAGTCTGCACCAACAGGAAGATCATCTTCATCATCTGAGATCTAGAACTGTCAAACTTCATTTAGACCAATAAGAATGTAAAAATGACCTGCTGTGTCGCTGGTCTACATACATAAATCATTATTTGGACAAGAATCTAAAAATGCAGCAAATCATCGTATGAAGTCTAGCATCTTAAATTATAATTCTTCACCGAACGACTATCAACAAGTCTGATGGTTCTAACGTTGCTACAAATTAGGCCTGAAAAACGACCTTTTCCATAACAGCTTCAACGGATGGCGGTATAGTATAAGTGATACACTTCTCAATGCTTTCATGACAAATTTGCCTCTCTATACTTGTGGAACGACTGTGACTTTGATGTCTGCAATAATTTAAAAAGATAACGAAGTGTAACACGATGTAAAACACTTTTTTGTTAACAAAGGTTTTATAACAATATACTTCTTTTTGTGCGATGGTGACTTTGACTTGGATGGTGATTTGTACTTCGATTTCTTGCTCTTTTTGGATTTCTTATCCCTGTGACGTTTTAATTTCTTGCTATATCCGCGTAATGATGAAAGACTTCCATCACTTTCTGCCCCTCTGAAATAGAGACGATGTTTCATATTCATAAGCAATGTTCAAAACACAGTACGAGGAATAAAATGTAATAAAATTTGGTGAACCTAGTGGAAATTAGGATTGCAACAATAAATATTCAAATAACATAACGCTACATCAACGACCGAATGATAAATCAGCGAATGTTCTACACATTATAAACCCTTCAAAAAAATACCGCATATTACATCTATCATTACACTTGAAAGAAAAAAGCTTTTAATATTCTAAAACTAATTCTACGCTGTGCTATGATGAGATAATTTATCATTCCAAGTTCCGCAAACGATACTCCTACACAATACTTGAAACGATATTTTGGAGGATCATGAAAAGCAAGCGTATTTATACAAACATAACTACTTAAATCTGCTCGATGCAGATCAGATTTACCTTTTTGTTGCAACTTCGAGTTTCCCACCAATTAAGCTTTTCATATCGAACGGCTGAAAATCCTTTTCTTTTATGATCATTGCTTTATGTTTAATAGATCTTGTTATAAGAAATGACAATGAGAATTTTTTTGATGTTACAGTAAATTTGAAAAAACCAATCACCTCATTTGTTTTACGTACTTCGTTAATCAGTGATGCAATGATAGCATCACTTGATGACGGCTTCACTTCCTCTTCCTCTTCTTTTGCCATTCGGCAATTGACTAAAATCATATTCAAATGAAATTTACATGACTTGAGCATTCTCAGCGAATCCGTCGCCTAGATGTTCAATAAAACAAGCAGTGCACCATCAAAGGCTCACATACTCTCCAAACTGGCTAACCGTACTTTGCCCCACCAAAACTCTAACGCACACGTACCGACGAACATGTTCTCTTTGTTAAATGGACTGTGCATTATGCAACTATCGCTTCCCAGCCTGCACACCACTTTCATGGGAATTTGGAGTGTGAAGCGAGCGACCTTGGGATCCTGCAAGAAGTCGGTCGTTGTTTGGTTATCATCTGCAGAACTGTTACGGATTACAAGTAAGAATTAGGTGTCGTCGTCCGGAGAGGGATGTTAATCAGATGTCATTGATAAAGATTAAAAATTCATCGACAAATTATGGTTCGCTTTCATTTTGACGAAAAAGGAATAAAAAAAAAGAAAAGTGCAGTAGGTCAAGTCATGGGAATAAAAAAAGTTAGTGCATCCTCCGAGGCATTTCAATAAAGATGTCTGATGATTAGTGTAACCGAGGTTATCAGGAATACGCAGAAGAATGCTAGTAAATGCATAGAAACAGGTTTTCCGCTCTATTCATATCCAAATAATTCTATCACTCCCATATGATTTGAGAGAAAAACGGTTATTGATGCGATTTATAATCCTGCACTACCTTTATTTCCTCCTTCTTGTTTTTGAATCAGTCACATTTTGTCCATCTCGTTTAAATTCACTTTTTTGATGACAGCTAATTATTTCCCGCCTTTCCCTTCTCTTGATGATATCCTCACATCGTCCGTAGGCTACTATATGCAGATTTCATTTTTACTCTTATTCAAAAGAGCGTTTAAATTTTAAGATTTGAGGATTTGCTTATTCGGATTGGCACATCTGTCGGGTCTTTTATAAAAGCCCTTTCAGGATGGATTCAGATGACCCATAATTTTGATCGCATTATAAAAGATATTAATTGAACATTCTCAAGAAAGAAAGAAAGGCGGACGTTTATTGTACCTTCCTTAAGCGATTTAAAAAAGTGATTTTCAAATATTAATTGGACCGCACATTAACTTATCCAGTCGAGAAAAGAGGCGGATGCCGTCATTGGTGTCCCCAGCAAGTGTAATTACTAACTGGTTTTGTTCTATTTGCTGCAATGGCACTGCGCAACATTTCAATTAAGGGCAAAGCTGATTAATACCAACAGCAGTTAACATTCAGTGAGCTGAATAACAACGTGTAATTTTTTGTTATGAAATGCTGGGGGATAACAGATTTACCCATCGATACTCCTTTATCACGAGTTGTTTCTCTGGCGGATAGAAGAAGACTGTCCCAGACTGGACGATGTGGTGCTTCCTAAAGCAAATCGACGAGCTCGTTCTCAAATCCAATTTTAGAATTGCTTTAAAATTGGTGTACATGCCTTGAAATTAAGATTCATATCCCTTTTTTATCTCTGTTACATCCAGCAATTGAAAGGATAAGTTTAAATTTTCACATTCCCAACTATTTTAGCAAGAAAGAGTATTTACTGAATGAGAGGAAGCCCCGTACAGAGAATGTTCAAGTCTTTTTTTTTTTTGATCATAAAACATATGCATTCCGAGATCATATTTCTAAAACAGATGATCAACATTGATGCTGGAACATTGAAGCGGCAATTTCTGTCCATTCTTGGATATTGGGCCTATTTCCTTCGGTACTTTCTTTCTTTTAATTCATTCAAATTGCACGTTTTGAATATCTGCTCTCTTGGTTTTATAAAAATGTATGCATATTGCACATAGTACACTTAAATAATCTGTTTGCCGATTTGTCTTAGTGATTACGACGGGTCAACTTGTGGAAATCAACGTTTGCTTGGATAATTTAGGCTATTAACAACTCCACAATTTCTACGTTTTTAATGATCAAACGTGATGATACTGCTACATATCGAGCGATAATTTTTCCATCTGGTGTTAATCGCTGATTTAGTTGAACCTCCAAGCAAACTGAAAAGATATTCAGTGTTTTGATAATAGCTGCATTTGTTCGATCAATGATCAAACTTGACAGGAAAAGAGATACCAGCAATATAAGTATTTAAGAATGACCACACAGCTAGTCACAAAATGCTTTCACATGGAAAGTACATCTAGTGCTCGATTAAAGTGCAGTGGAATAAAGGAATGCTTAGGCTGATGCAAAAATGAACCTGAAATAAAGATATTTATCATATTTTTATTCTAGCTACTTTTTTCAAGTTTTATTTTTTCAAATAATGAGTAAATTAGTTGAAGCGTACTCTGTTACTGTAATATCCGCAATATCGTCATCATCTTTCATATCTTTTCCCCATAAATCGTTTTTGCTTAATTTGTCATTATTTCTTGAGATTTTGTTTTTAGAAACTGAAGATGAAATTATCAACGACCATTAGTTTGCAGTGATATTTTCAATTAACCAATTCTTTCATTATTTTTAATAAAACCTCGATCCACTCATCTATTTGTCAAATACAATTAATGAGTCCACCTGCAGTTGTTTAAATACAGCAGTCCATTCGGTTTATATAGGCACTGATTTAAATTTAGAATTTCAGTGCATCAGACAACAATGCCATCCAAATGATTGAATCCGTTGGTACCAAATTTTTCAAATCGATCACTGAAACAGCTGACGATCTTGGTGACCGATTTGAAATCGCTTTTACGAATTTTTCCAATAAAATTGCAGGCTCGTTGATCGGATTCAGTTTAACAAAATGTTTAGTTCTTTAATTTGTATTCCACTCCACCTCAAAAAGGAACTATTTCTGGTATCCTGAAACCGAAAAAGACATCCATATTTGATCCTCGAAACACAATAACTATTTTTCTTATTATGCATTTGATTCATGCCTATTCATTGATGTGCCTGTAAATCGCAACTTCTGAACAAATTTTTTTCTTACAGAAGATGCCGATACATTGGCTTTAGAATTTATATCGTTATCAAGTTATATCAAAATTGTACTTTTTATGCTAATCATACTTCTTCTATTGATCATTTTCAAGTACTTAACGCTTGGAACACTGTTTTTGAAAAATTGTTGGCTGCGACGTCATACTGAGTTGTCAAAAATGCAGGTAAGATCAACAGTGAGCTGGAAGTATTAAACACAAATTTGCGTTGATTCAAGCTATTCTTCAATCATTCAATAGTTTCTTTACTAACATTTGAAAATATTAATTCTCCAATTAGCAATTAATTGGCTTTCGATATTTCCAAATATTTCAGTTCTTGATTCTCGCAGCTCCAATGAAAACGGAAATGGAATCCACAACTTCCAAAATGGAGTACGATAGCTTGACAGCTATCGTTCAACTCCAAACTATTATCTCTGATGGACAGTTCCTGTTGAAACCCCTAAAAGGAGTGGACAGTACAAATAGTTAGTTTTCAACATAACTGTATCAAAATATAATGCAAATCGAATATACCATGATCAGTTTGAATTTCACTCATATTCATTAGAATTTTTGCTCTCCAATCGTTTGAGTTTCTACTTTCATTTTTTTCCTGTTTGTTTGTTTTTGTTTTTGTTATTTTTTTTTTTTTGTCTAGTTTACTGTCATAATCAGTTTCGTATTTTCTTAAATCTGAAGGCATAACTGCATTTGATACTCATTGATTGTCGCTATCCATTGCTTTTTAAAATGGCCATGGATCATTATTAAAATTGTGTATTCAAATTAGCATATGAAGAGAGTCTGCGTAATCTCATTTTCCCTTGAACTTCAACTCTTCCATGATCTTTTCCATTCGTTAAAACAATTAACCTTTATACTGCTATTCCCGACACAGATATATATCGTATTCCCTTCCTTGCTTATCATTTCCTGTTAATTTGAAAACTGGTGAAGAAATTCATTTGTATTGGTATCTTTAGATGTTATATTGCACGGTCAATGCATGTCGATTTACAATTGCCACTGTTCGTTTTATTGGAGCAAGATAATAATTACTTAAAAACTGTTTTACTCTCCATTGAACTGACTCCAGCATTTCAAAGATTAAAGCTCCAACACGGCAGTAAAAGTCATGAAATCAATGTAATTTTTTCATAGGACGTATAATTGAGAATGAAGTTGTCCAGAGATTTCATTTTAAAGTTGAATGCAGATTCTTCGATGAAAGCATTAAATCCTTAGTTTTAGAAGGTATGCACACACAAGTTATATGAAGGTTAGAAGTCAGAAAAGTTTGCATAAACATCTTTCTGGTTTGTCCAGATTGCTTGTCGCCGTTAGTGACCTGTTGTGAGAGAAAATGGGCAGTCTTATTTTTCATCCCAAAAGTAATTCAGTAATCCGTTGTTAAACCAATCGGATTTTGATTGATTTCTTTTCTTTTACTTTCATCAACAACTTCATTCATTTCCACACATTATTTATTACTTTAATGTAATACTACTAGTAGATGAATATTGCTGTTTAGGGGTGTATATCACCATTACAACAAAAAATGTCGAATTTTCTGTGAGGCATGGGTTAAACCTATTTCATGCCAGCCAGTAGTATATTCTACTTCAATGTTTGATGAGTAATGGGTAATAGTCATATAAGAGAAATGATGGATTTAGAAAGATGTCATGTTGCAAATAATTTTCACCCCACTTATTCTAAAGTTCTTGCTTTAATTTCTTCACTGCTTTTAACAATAATGAAACAAGAAGTTGCTGTTCATCCAGTTTAACAGCTGGTAAATCCTTTATCAAAATTTCTCTTTCGACTTCCATGTAGCTTATAGCCTAACTCCAGCCTCTGTTTTTTGGTTGGAACGAAATAGAATATGTTAAGATGAGCTTATTTTATTAAAATTAATTTCAAAATGAGGAAGTTCTTTGCTGAAAATTATTTAAACATTCGGCAGAAATCAAGATGAAATGAACCAAAATTTAAAAACTTTTGAAAGTTACTAGTAAATATCAGATATGTGACCACAGAGTACAGTTAAGGACTTTAAAGTTTTGAAGGTGGATCAGAGGACGTTGAAAAGTGCAGAGATCATAAAAAATCTCTTTGTATTTTACATAACAAAAGAGTGCCTTTTCTTCAGATTTCATTTTCAATATATAAAATTTGTTTCATTCCTTTCATTTTTTCCACTTCAATTAATTGAACGTATTGCATCCCCTAACTTTTGCCTTGTCTTGGCTCTGAGGCCCAGAAATGCCAAACGTTAAAGCCAGAATACAATGACCGTTAACTTATGCCATTGTATTTTACAATGGCCGAGACCTGCTTCCCGCTTCCCGAATAATCTAGTGGGATGGATATGAGGTTGAAAATGTTATAATTTCAAATAATGACATAAATTCGATATTTCTTTTGGCACGAACTATACTTATTATATAACCAAGAAATTGAATCATTTCAAGAGCAATTCATAAAATAGTTGAAAAATTCTTCCCCTCTTTTCTAAAGGAAAAATTTAGCGCAAATGGTAATACGGTTTTTCAACATAGAACAGAGACTGGTATGACAAGAGGGTTAAACCCAAATTGACCATATCTAATCATATCCTATTAATAACAGTTCTTTCTGATTTCAAATCTTCTAATTTTGTGAATTTTGGGCATTTAAAACAATTTAACTCTGATGTTATGATAGAGTATTGTCAGAAGGCATGTTACTCGTCGTTCCATTTCCCTTAGATAGCGGTTTTTCGATATATTCCATCCGTGCAACTCCATCTTCTGTATAGTTATTATAGTGATGTCCAATTGCAAGTGCGATAAATAATCCAATTACAATAACTGTCATAAAGGCATAGATGAAAAATTCGGTAGCCGGCTCAGCAACAATGTGCGATCCGGAAATTAGCATATCTATCACATTACCCAGGAATACGGTCATCAACCAAATGGCCTATAAATTAAACAAGCAAATTATATTTATGGACGGGCGAATTTGTCTTATAATTGTACTTACTTCTTTTTTTTTTGCTGTCATTCGGTGTTTAAAATAACGTGCAATTAAATTCAACGTTCTGCCTCCGGAAAAAAAAAAACTTGGATATGTAACACCAGTAGTTATTCAGACTTTACCATCACTGTTTCGTTTTTGTAATAATTTTACCTGTAATACAGATTTCATATTTGGTGGTGCTTGAGAGTATGAAAATTCCAAACCAGTTACCGAAAATAACACTTCACCAATTGTTATGACAAAAAATTGAGGTAGTTGCCAAAGTATATTGACTGTATTTGGCCTGACAACAGTATAGAGATCAATGTCATTCTCCGTGATGTATACTACATGTGCACCACCAGCTTCCGCATAAATGGTATAATTGAATGGACAATCAGTTACCGCGCAATTACCAGGACCAATTTTTAACACATATTCTGGTGAGCTGATTAGTGCGGGGTGGATATCCAAATGTTGACCTGGAGATAACGAATTGAGATGAACAGTAATTATTCTCAAACGAATCGCAATAAATATTAGTGCCAGCAAACTGGGACATGTTGATTGATTTGACATCGACAATAAAACAAAAACTCTCATTTGATCAAACATCTCATTCAGACCCCCCCCCCCCCCTCCCACGTTATCACACGTTTATCAAGATGGTTTTATTTTACGACGAGCTTATTAACGGAAGGACAAATACGAAAAGAAATGATCTTTGATAGGTTTTATTTTGTATAACTCAGATTTGCATCTGAATCACGATCCTCAATACAAGATTAAAAGATGCCTGATCTGAGAACTGCTTTCTGATGAATGTTCCCATGACTATCAACAATGTAAAAACTTCCGTTCGCTAGAATGGAATCGCCTGCAACCAGCAGATACAATCGAATTCCACCGTTTTCGGTTTTCTCACAATTATAGGGAAAAGAAGAAAAGATACTCCTGAAATGGTAAAATTACAAAAATAGTAAGTGATGACAACTGGGATTGATAACTTGTGCATATAGTAGTACCTGACTATAAAAAAAATTTTTTTCAAAAAATTTGGAAATGGACTGGCTTATTTCGAGATGACTCAAATAATCCGAGAACATATCCAGATTCAGAGCTTGACAAATTCAGTTGGAAGCTTTGCACATTTTCGATCGAATTCGATGTTACGGTATAAAGGCCTTCTGGTAAATCGGTCTTGCCATAAGTAAGCTTTGTTCCGTTGATTTCGTAAGAATGCGAAGAATCACCGAATGTTTGCAAAATCACTCTGCCACGTTCCGGATGCGGTTCCATCGTTTTGTTCACTTCTAACTGTCAGGAGAAAATAGATTGAAAAGAGTTCTCGTCCTATTTTAGTAATTGTAATGCAATACTCAAAAAATTCTCAATTTACAAAAAAAAAAGTGCAAATCGAAAGAACAGCGAAATAGTTATTAAGGACAGTAAAAATACTGTCATTAGAAGTATTACTTGCAATAGTCCAGCCATAACAAAGGCTAAAGCTGCAAGACAACCACCGGTAGCCATTTTCCGAAGAGGTGTTACTTTGCAAACTCTTTGAACTAATGGATAGACCCATGCTTCAAACATAGGCACTGTGATAAGGACAAAGAGCGGGTTCAAGATATTCATTTGATCTGGTAGTATCATAAATGGTCCAACACGACCATTCATGCGACAAGCTTGCAATACCCATGTGCTTCCCTAAAAAAAAAAATTGATACACAAGTCAGATTTCTTGTTCTTAATAGTCGAATAAATATGTTCAAATAGAGTGTCGCTACTGTGTATTGAAAAAATTTGCTTGAAATCGTACGTAAATAGCCACATTTAAGTATAAAAATTACTTTCATTCCACAAACAAACTTTCATATCCACTGATGAGCACAGTTTCAAGTTTTTCGTATTATATCATACAGAATAGATGATGGATAAAAAGGATTTAGGTATGAAGTGGCGAAATAATTTCTAAAAATATCCTTTAGATATCTAACTTTATGATTTTAATTTATGAAACGGACCACTACAAATTGAAGGAATGAAGAAAATCCACATCAACTGAATTTATAGAAAAACCTCACTTCATAAAAAAATTGTTCCTGTTAATGTTTTAATTCAAATTCTTCTATTAAGTAAGCGATCAGCAAGTGATTCGAACTTTTTTCATCATTTAAAATTGATATTAATAGCGGAACTGTTTGAAGAACTACAGTCCATAGATGTTTCTCTTTTTAGACAGAATTCAAATAAGAAAGAAGAAAAAATTAATTTCCCCACTTATTTCAATTTTTCTCTTAGAGAGTTGCAAGCATACATATATTTCGAAATACTACAAATATGAAAGAACTGAAGAAGCGTTTTACGGTTTGTTAAAGGTTTTCCCTGATGAAGATGCAACAACCAAAAGCAGTTTTTTAGTCAGTCCTTTAAAATATTTGTTCAAATTAGCAGTTATTCACCTGCTGATCAAACAATGCCCAAAACAGTACAACTGGTCCAAATAGAACTGAAACATCCACCAAGCATTTGACAGCGTCCAAGAAATTACTGCTATACTTGGGTGCAGCATAATCGAGCCAATGCTCAACTTTCTGTCCACCTCTATAAAGTACATCAGGCCATTATTCAATCGGGTTAGCATAAGTTACTGTCGAGTCATTGAACAAAAAAGTTGATTCGTTTCAAATATTCAATCAGTATACGAAAACCGTGACCATATCCTGACGTTTCCACTGAGAATGATTTCTCTGATGAAGTTGTAGTTCATAATGTTCATCCGCTATGACCTCAATTCTTTCCTTTCCCCCAGTTTTCCAGACTTTCATGGATTTTCTGAGATTATCAGGAAATGCTAGCTCTCATAGTCGTTGACCACTGTGTTCTCCTTTTATTGATTTGATGGATGTAAACGATATTTCACGAATGATAATTCTAATTACACAGAATTAAAAGTAGTACCTCATAAAGCTGCAGATTTTTTTTCGAGCTGCATAACAAATGCAGCAGACAACACTGAAAACGATGTTACCTTTTGCAGGTGGCACTATTTTATAATATCTCCAGCCGGCCAGAAACAGTATGAAGGCCAGCAACATTAGTACACCGGGTACACCTGAATTAGAATATCTCATTAACTTCTCCCATCTCATACATTCGCCACTTTATGCAGTTCTTTTGAAAGAACACAAGTATACATTTACTGTCTCCACTTACCAAACGCCAATGGAAAACAATATTCGGAGCCAAAACATTTCACTCGTCCTCTTAATATAGGTGTCAGTAAAATTGCCAGCAAGGAACCAGCATTGATAGCGAAATAGAAAAAAGAGAAGAATTGATTCCTTTCATACACTTGTTTTTCGTCAAACTAAAAACTTGAAAAGTAGACCCCAGCGTTAGATAAATTAAATTTGAAAACTTCCAAAAAAGATTTAAAAGAGCGAGCAGAATTTACTCGCAAAATTTAACGATTTAAATACGAAATTTGCGAATTTGACTCGAGAATCTGTAATAAGTGAATGAAACAATGAACAGTTTAATGTTTGCTAAAATTCTTATATCTTTTTAAAGGCCATCAAAATATCGTAACAAAAAAAGATGATGTTTAAAAATAGATTTATTAATTCTTTTAAAACTTTTTCTCTTTAATACATTCGCTATAAAAGATCCAACCTGATCAGCAGCAAATGCAGAAACACAAGGTTTAATACCACCAGTAGCAAAAGCGATGATAGCTAGTCCACCGAAATCGAATATTAAACGAAAAGTTCGCTCGAGTTCTGGTATTGCACCAACTGTTAACAATATATGACCGATCACATAAATAGCAGACATCCAAAGTATCACTCGAAATCGACCGAAATAGTTATCCGCGGCAATGGAACCGAGCAAAGGTGAGATATATGCAAGTGCAATGAATGAATGGTAGAAAAGCGATGCCTGACTATAAAGTATCTGCTTATATTATTGTAAACATTAATTTAAGGTTCATAACATAAGCTAATCTTTGAATGGCATATTTAAAGTGGCATAAATTGATAGAAATGCAAATGTATTGTTTAACCTTTCACTGAAATGATGTTCGATGATAAGATATAGCATTAAGATGGCTCGCATGCCATAAAAACTGAAACGTTCGCAGAACTCATTGCCCAGCATGAAAAATACCCCTGGTGGATAAGTGCGGACACTGGCCAGTAGTCCTTTACGGCCGCCACCCATCTTACAGTAATCAGGATGACTCGAGTTGTCAGGTGATATCAGTAGAGGTTGTTGTTGATTGGATTCTGGAAATTGTTCAAAATTAAAAAAAAAATGGAATGAACATAAGAATAAACGAAATTGATAATGCTAGCAATTGCATACCATTTAATGAATTTAAGAGAACAGTTAACAGTATATTTACATTTATTTAATTGGAAGAGAAATGAAAGGAAATAGTAATATTCGATGAAGCATGAAGTAAACAGGAAATATCTTGAAAAAAGACGAGATGAAGAAAAGAGAAGGTGTGATCCGAGTAACAAACTATTCCCCTTTTTGATTTTACTTGCTTAATAACAAAAACAAATAAAAATGTCGCCGATATTTATCAGCTATTATTTTATTTGGTGATAAATTGACAAAGTATTCGAATCGACCACAACTGAAATGCAAATAATTATGCTGTCGCCTTATGTTATCTATTATACCTTCTGCTGTTGTTTAATCATTGATCTTTGTTCGCTAATGCATGAAATAAAAATGTTAATTCTTCCATAACTTTCACATGCAATGCATATACAATGACATCGCTTAAAACCCATTGAAACTACAAAACAGAAAAGTGATATTCAACAATGCATACACAATAGGTATCAAATTTGCTGCTGCATATCGTGTATGAACTTCATCTATTATACCTCCTGCTGTTCTTTAATCACTGGTCTTTGTTTGCTATAGAATAATCAATTAAATAAATTATTAAATTAAATTTAGCATGATTGAACCGTTATATTCGAGATCGGTGGCCTGCATATTTCAGTAGCATAATTTAATTATGCTCTCGAGAGAAGAAGACATGTTTTATTTCACTGCCCCATCTTTTGGACACCACTATCAGTAGCTTTTCTCGGTCGAACTTTGTAATCCATTTCCTTTTCTTGAAACAAATGCATAAGTTGTACAAGTTGATGCTCGCATAGGCAATATCTCT